GTGAGAACTGCCAACGCTTTATCTAATCTCCCATAATGTTAGTTAAAGATACATTATGGGAGATTTTTATAGAGAGTTGGCCATTCTTGCTATAACAGTTCAAAAGTAGATGATGAAAGAAGAATATATTGAAAATTTCAGTCAAATTACTTTATTCTGAACATAGTTATCATCGTTGTAATATTTGACTAGAAATGGTAGCGAAATGAATCTTCACCTTGGCCGATCGTTTAATTGACAGGCGTTAACTCCACCTACATATCTCGATTATCAAGTAAAGTTTTCAATGGCATACTGAAACGCTCTACAGCGGCCTCGCTAAGTACACTCTATCATTTAGCCTCGATCTAACTGACGTATTTTCATCAGGTTGCCCCATATTTGATTTAATTAATTAGTGAAATCCTTTTTAAATCCGCGCTGCAGCCGAGCCATCCGTGGGTCTACAGCGTTGATTTTGGGCTTGTTGTTTAAATCAAGATCTAATTTATAATTTCTATAACATCTGAAGCCTAAATTAAGACTTGCAATAATCAAATTTAGCTCTTGCATAATGTAAGTTAAGTACAAATAAAAATAGGGTACGTATGATCTTACGTTTTACATCGGATTGTGATGTAGCAAGTTCTGAATGATTAAATATTAGTTTTCAAAAGATTAAGACAGTGAATCCCGACCTTTTTTTGCCAACACATGGAAAAATAGCGGCACACCTGGTTAAATATACGTGAAAAATATTTGAGTTTTGCAAAATACTGTGATAGAATACATCCGTAGACAGAGATCAGTCCTAGCCACATAGAATGACTCAAACTAAATATGAACTTATCAGTAGACACCAGTGACAGTGAATAATCAATTGGGATCACGTGGATGTTCGCATCAAAATTTCGCGGCACACTAAGGAAGATCTCGCGGCACATTGGTTGAGAATCATTGGTTCAAGATAAGGTTGGCCTTAAATTTTGACTTACTGTTTCTATAATAATAATGTTATTTATATAGTCATATTCCACACAAAGAGTATCTTCATGGGTTATATCTGAAAATGAAAGCAGCGATATTAAGATTTCCAACGCCATCGACAATTTTAATTGCGACCGAATCAAAGAATTATGACTATTTTAATTACATAGCTGTCTTCCAAACACATTCATTAAGAGAGAGAGAGAGAGAGGGAGAGAGAGAGAGAAACAGAGAGAGAGAAAAAGAGAGAGAGAGAGAGGGAGAGAAAGAGGGGGAGAAACAGAGAGAGAGAAACAGAGAGAGAGAGAAACAGAGAGAGAGGGGGGAGAGAGAGAGAGGGGGGAGAGAAAGAGGGGGAGAAAGAGAGAGAGTTGGGGTTTAACGTCCACTCCGCACAAACTAGGTCATTTTGGGACTAACACAAGTTTCAATTTTCGTTTAATAATTCGCTAACGCGCATGGCTCTTTAGCAGTGGGAGACAATCACGTATAAGCGGTGATTCCAAACCAAGCTACATAACTCAATGACAGACCTTGTGATCAAATGCGATAACCATTCGGCCACCAAACCGCCTAAATTCATTAACACGTGCGTATTTTTATCATATTATATATTTTTTTATTGTTTTTATTTTCACAGATGTGAAACTGGTTTGAAATGTGTGACGTCACCAAACGTTGACAATCGAAGGATTTCACTTTGGACTAGTCCAGGAAAATGTCGCAGTGTCTAAACATAAAGACCGGAATGCAAAAAAATAATAATAATAAAGTGTATGAAATAAAACAAATGCTAATGCGTTATGTCATATTGTAGTCCAACATAGCTAAAGCCTCACCATGACATACTGTGCTCCAGCATCGCTTAAAGGACAATATTGGTGCCAGTCATTATCACATATGTGATAGAACTGGTTCAACACGTTCCAAATATTATTTTTTCACAGAGATCATTGCTACGATAGATGAGTAATCAATGTTTCAACAATAGGAAGTGACGAACGCAAAAGGAAAACACGAGTTATCCCTCTATAAAACTGGCTGAAGTGACGGGTGATAACAGATACATGGGCGAATTTCTGCTCACTAAAAATTCCTTCGAAGATCAAAAGTTGTTATATGAGACTGTAAGACTATATCTGACAATTCAAAAAAGTAATTGAATGTCATTAGATAAGAGAACACGAGAAAAATAGAAAAACAGTCCGTACATTCACGGGTGTTTATTCATTCTATACTTATAAAAACATGGTAATGCACGAAGAACACTTACCCCCCCCCCCCATTGCTCTGGGCTAGTTACGGCCCATAGCTTTAAATAGGGGAGTTAATAAACCACAACAAACATTATATACATAATCTATAATAAGTATGTTTATTTTCTTGCTTAAACACACATAATGCAAGAGCCAAATCTGCCTATTGCAGGTCTTTCTATAGGCCTGAAATGTTATCTTAAAGGAGCTAAATCGCTAACATTTGGGACCTAGAAATCGACAAAAGTGGATCGCAATGCATATAATACTGTAATATGAATGTATATAAACTGATTTACATTCAATGGTTTCCGTTTTTACTCCAATTTCAAATCAGTTATCTTCGGCGAAATAAGCCAGCAGTCTCAAGCGAGTGCAAATTTCTAGCGTCTGGTTATTCCAGTCTACATACGCCGTTTGACTTGGTGCAATGTGTCTAGCCTTGTCCCTTGAGTCTCTTGATACAACTGGGGCTGAAGCGCATCATGGTACACGATTCGTGTACCAATGGTAAAATATTTAATTTGTCTTAAATATTGGATATCAAAAGCCCATCTTTTTCCAGTAAGATCACAACATGAATGTTGATTTAATTTTACAAATAAATCGTGTTTTCAATGTTGAAGATTTTGGATGATATTGAGTTAGAGACTTAGCTACTTTAATTATTAATTAGACATTAATTAAATATCTAGACCATATAATCAACTCTCGATGTCATCGCTGGTCTGCGATACTTACTGGACCTGATCCTCAACGCTCATTGATGATTAAAGCTGAACTCTGATTACAAAAATACCGAAATAATTAAATAAAAAAAAGTTAACGCCCCCAAGCCGCCATACTTGTTTCCAATTTATGAAATAAATATGGCGGACATGGAGGCTTATGACCTGGTAAGGTTAGCCGATCTCACTTCCAGTTAGTTTCTTGTCAGCCAGCTGTACACATCCGGTTTTATTATCTACACACGCTTCACCGATTGCTCTATTTTTTCCCAACAGTATTCCAAATTATTGAAGATTGCAAAATGACTGATCAGGTAAGCCTGTAAATAATTATATGAACTGCGTCTACTACAATATAGCCTAAGCTTTACTTTAAAACAAAAGATGCAAACAGATGGCTTACCCCAACCTGAAATTTTCAACTAAAACATATCACCTACACACACTATTGTCTTCTTCATATTATTATTATTATTGCCACGTCTTCTTGTGAATATCTTACACATATATGTAAATCACCCATAAAGTTATCGCAGCATAATGTCCAGTGTAATTATAACTAATACTATGCAATAAACAGATAGTTTAGATTAGATTTTCACAGGTCGCCATGTCCGCCATATTTATTTCACAAATTGGAAATAAATATGGCGGCTTGGGGGCGTTAACTTTTGTTTATTTAATTATTTCGGTATTTTTGTAACCGGAGTTCAGCTTTAAATCCAAACGTGGATAATCGAGACTATTTTGTTTAGTAATGATGATCGAGGTTACGCTTAAAATTCAAAAGCCAATATCTCGGTTCAGACTGGATCAATTTAACTGAAATTTTCTGCATATTCCTTTTACATTATCTAGTTATTGAGAATTGCCAGGTCGTTCTCTAATCTCGCATAATGTCCCTTTAATGTTATAAGTCCTCTTTAAATATTGTGGTATTTGAATCATTGGTACATCGTTTCTTAGGTTTTCAATAACGGTATTATTCAAAATTAAGTTATATTTATAGCACGGCTTTCATGAGTTAACAGGTTTAAACATCGAGGCCACGTCAGTTGACGCAACCACAGATCTTATTATTCGACTTGCACACGTTAACCATTCAGCCATCCAACCGCCAGGAATTCGAAATAAGAGTAGGCCGCAATTTTTTCGTCATAGCACACTGCATGTTGTGCACCCGTCTCAAATCTCATTTAATTTCATGTACATAGGGGGGGGGGGGGGTCACGTGGCTAAATGGGTAAGACGCTGGCTCGCTAGCCTGGAGGTTGGGTGTTCGGGTGTCCAGATTTTCCAGCGTGGTTTCCCCTTGTCAGTGATGCAGGACGGAGGGCCTGATAAGGACAGCTGTCTAGTCGTTCGGATGGGACGAAAAACCGAGGTCCCGTGTACATATTGGCGTGCACGTAAAAGATCCCTTGGCAGTTGGATTTCGATATAAGAGTAGGCCGTAGCGCTGCTGCCCGGGCAAAATTTCCCTCATAGTACACTGTATGGCGTATGCCCGTCTTCATAAGCCCAGTTTAGGAGCAGAACAGTAGGACGTTAAACCCTATTTCATTTCATTTCATTTCATGTACATAGGCTAAGCCCATTATCCAATCCCATTCAGATACCCTGAATCAAATATGGTTGTTAAAGCCACCAAGCTTATACATATATATACATTTGATATTTGTATATTTAAAGATACTGGTTGTGTTCCTCCATACTGGGACAACGTTGCTGCGATAGATTTTATTTTTGCAGATTTCTTTACTGAGCAGAGAAAGGTTAACTCTATTTTGTGGTAGGAATGACAAACGTGCCGCGTTGACGCATTTCATCCATGTGATGATAATAAAGTAAGACTTTTATTTTATGGCGAATTTATTATTCGAAACGGAAACAGACTCAAAAGTTATCATGTAAAAATGAAATTGTGTCTATATGTTTACAAGAAGTAAACGCGGTGTTCTATATCGCATTAGAATTAGTGTGTGAACAAATTGACTCATGGTTAGTTAAAGGTTGGTCACTCCTTTATGTGTCATCTGTTAATAGTTAACATAATCGAGGTAACCTTTGCTAAATAGTAGATGGCATTAAGCTACATAATTACTCGAATATATGATCAAAAAGATGACACCCATCAATGCATTATATAAATAGAGAACAAATCATACAGACCACATTCAACATTAGTCGATAAAGCTGAAAGCAGGTAAGTGATAATTTTTTTATTGTAATACACAAAATATAACGGTTTATTAAAACCGAATTAAACGGTTCAGTTATTTTTCTGGGGTTCATGTATACTGATGTCCAAAAGAAAGTATACACACTAAAAGTATGACTAAGTTTTGTTTAGATTAAAAACATTTGATAAAGCATTACTGAGTTTGTCTCTTGCGTCCAAACTCAACATTTCTAAGCAAAATAAAAATTTGAAACGAATTGACATTCTACCCAAATACCGTATACCATGGAAAAACGACTTTGGTTGATGCAGCACAAAATGCACAGTGTATACTTTCTTTTGGACATTATTATATTTATTTATATGTGTTTTACAGTCGTGATCTTAAATATTGCCAAATACATTCGTTGTTGTTGTTTTTACTGTTTAATGATCGCTTCCACCGAAGGTGATATCGCAGACAATTTTTATTTTTCATTTTTATTATCTTAGCGCAAGCTCAGGGGCCTTTCCTGTGGGAGGAAACGGAGTATCCGGAGTAAATCCACGAGGTTGATAAGGGCGTCCCTGTCTTAAAGCCACATACGCTCATATCGGGGATCGAAACCACAGCCGCAAGCCAGAGGTGACCGACAAGCTAGAGGTCGAAGCGCGGCACTCTAGACCAGTAGGCAATCCCAACCCCTCAATCCCAAACACATTCATCATGACAATCATATCTTTTATTCCGATGGCTCAATCAGGGTATCACCTCCCAAGAGAAAAATTTATGAGTCCGGGACCGAGTTTTCAAAGCATTCACAAATAATTTTACTCTGTTTTCTATGGAAGCGTATAGGGGTCAATAGCGCGATAGATACTGCAATAATAAGTTGGTAATATGTCAACATATTGTGATTGTTCTGATGATTTTATCTCTGAAAAGACAATATTTCTCTATGCTTGTCTCATTTGGCATCCCACTTTACAATGTAGCACATAGTTCTTATTTTCATATACATATCTGTATTTATGCTACCCTAGTTCTTATTATAATACATTAATTTATTGTCATGTTGTAAACTTTACTTGAAGAATAAATAAATAAATAGATAAATAAAATATATTAATTATTAATACAATATAATGCCATCATTAATTTCTCTATTCCTTGTCTATAAATTTGAAAACAATAACGCAACGACACTATTTCTACAAGTAAAGCATAACATATAATATCATCTATGAATAAGCGTATGTGAGGCAACCTGGACAATAGTTACTTTAGTAACGGAGGGAGAGAGAGAGAGAGAGAGAGAGAGACAGAGAAATGGGGTTTAACGTCCATTCGACACAAACTAGGTCATTTCGGGACTAACGTATGGTTTAATTTTATTTACATAATTTGCTTGCGCGTAGGGGTCTTTAGCAGTGGGAGGAAACCGGAGGACCCGGAGAAAACCCACGAGGTAAGACAGGCGACCATACTCCTTGTCACGTACAACCGGGGATTCGAAACCACGCCAGTCGACTCAATGACAGACTTTATGATACAGCGCGCGCACGCTAACCATTCAGCCATCCACACCCCCCCCCCCCCCCGTAACGGTGTCTGTTCGGACTAGGTCCTCTCATCGTTATTATAATATGAAAATAACGCGTTACACCATCTTGGTTCTAAGGTTAATTGGGAATCCTTACGGTCTGTTTTTCACCGTAATTCTTCTTTGTTTGCCAAAAGTCATCAATAATCGACACGTCTGACACAAATGCATGATAATTCAACACTATTTTCAAGTAGAATTTTCCGATTCAAAAGAACAAACAAATTCGTTTGAATTGGTCTGCCATTATGAAACCTGCGCGGTATCCCCAGCGGTCTCATTCCGTTCTACTCCACTAACCCCTGGGTTAATCGGGGGGGGGGGGGACATTTTCCGGCATGGTTTCCCCTTCCCAGTGGTGTAGGACGGAGGGACTGACAAGGACAGCGGTCTCGTGGTCCGGATGGGACCAATTACCGCGGTCCCGTGTACACATTGGATTGCACGTAAAAGATCCCCTGACAGATGGAATTCGAAATAAGACAAGACCGCTGTCCGGGCAGAATTTCCCTCATAGCACGCTGAATGGCGTATGCCCGTTTTCATTAGTCGTAGCATAACAGTAGGACGTTAAAACCAATTTCTTTTCATTATATAAATTACCGTTTGTTTCAGTATGAAGTTGTTAGTTGTAGTATGTGCTCTAGTAGCAGTAACATGGGTTGGTAGATCAGAAGGATATGTATGTCATCCCTGTACACCAGAAAGGGAAAGTCGGTGTCCTACATTACGAGCTGATTGTGAAACAGTTTCTGATATCTGCGGGTGTTGTAAAAGATGTGCTCTTAAAGAAGACGAGAGATGTGGTAGTGCTTACGATGCGAGGTAACTAGTACAGTTGATTATAGTAATACCAATACTAAACAAATAATATTTATTCAAGTAATTTCCTTATTTTATCTCACTCTCAGGTGTAATGACATCAATTAACGCTACCTAAAGTAATTGTTTCAAGTTTATCTATACTATCGACCAACATTTCACAGAACATTTATCTCACTCTCAGGTGTAATGACATCAATTAACGCTACCTAAAGTAATTGTTTCAAGTTTATCTATATTATCGACCAACATTTCACAGAAAATTTATCCGACATAACTTAAGTTCGCTACACCTTTTTAGAATAGCTTAACCATCTGATCAAAATACAGATCCTTTTTAGTTTCGTTTTGTTTCACTTGTCTTGACTACACTGGGGTCTCTGAAAGAGTTGTTATATATCCCGATTTCTGGTTGATGTGGGGGAATTAGGCAATGAAACGGGTTGTTGCGGCGAGTGGTTGGCGTGCGATGCACGGAACGGTGGGTATCCCACTAGAAACATCAATGCTCATTGGTTAAGCAAATGTCTGATGTCATAGGGTCAAAAGCCATCCGTATGACCTCTGACGCGACCTTCCAATACAACCAGTCAGATCTTTATGTAGTGGAGGTATTCAAAAGTATAAAAAATGAACGAAATATCTGTATTATAATCAGATTGTCATCTTAACATCTGACTCAACAATATCCATGATATTCGAATTAGAGTTCAACATATGGTCCATTTCAATGGATACTGCTGTAGAATTAATTAAAGGGTCCTAATATCGAATATTCAAGTCACAGTACACGAGAGTGTGTACTGTATGGACAAAGGGGTTTCGAGTGTCATTCGTAATAAACAAAGGAAATATACCCCAGAAGACAATGAGGGGGGTTGGATGGATGAATGATTAGCGTGCGCGCGCTGTATAATAAAGTCTGTCTCTGAGTCGACTGGCGTGGTTTCGAATCCCCGGTTGTACGTGGCAAGGAGTAGGGTCGCCTGTCCAACCTCGTGGGTTTTCTCCGGGGCCTCCGGTTTCCTCCCACTGCTAAAGATCCCTACGCGCAAGCGAATTATGTAAATAAAATTAAACCATATGTTAGTCCCGAAATGACCTAGTTTGTGTCGAGTGGACGTTAAACCCCATTTCTTTCTCTCCATAACAACTTGTTGGGTATGAGTACTGCACATTGTATTTCACCTCAATAATGATGACACAGTCTTAACCAAAGTGGTCTTCTGTCTTTGACTGAGTGGACTTCTCTATTGATCTGAGTGGTCTTGGGCGGAGTATGTTAGTCCCGAAATGACCTAGTTTGTGTCGAGTGGACGTTAAACCCCATTTATCTCTCTCTCTCTCTCTTTCTCTCTCTCTCTCTGATTCACCAAAATAATAATAACCCCTAAATTCATTATTTTATTTTACTTATATTTTTTTTTATTTATGCAGATGTGAAACTGGTTTGAAATGTGTGACATCACCAAACGGGGGGAATCTAAGGATTTCACCTTGGATTAGTCGAGGAATTTGTCGCAGAGTCTAACCGTAAAAACTGGGATACGAGAAAAATAAATTGTATTAAATAAAACAAAAGAAAATGTTTGGGTTATTTGTGTCTAACTTGATTTACTAAATATTGTTTGTAACATCGCTTAAATTCCCACCATGCCATATCGCAGTCCAACGCCGCTTAAATCCTCATTATTATATTGTAGTCCAACGCCGCTTGAAGCCGCCATGTCATATTGTAGTCCAACACCGCTTGTCATACTGTAGTCCAACACACCTTAAAGCCGCGCTATGTCATATTGTAGTCCAACACACCTTAAAGCCGAACTATGTCATATTGTAGTCTAACACCGCTTAAAGCCACACTTTCATACTGTAGTCTAACATAGCTTAAAGCCTCACCATGCCATAATGTAGTCCAACATCGCTTAAAGGAATATTATATTCCAACACCTCTTAAAGCCCCACTATACCATATTGTAGTCCAACATCGCTTAAAGCCGCACTATGTCATATTGTAGTCCAACATCGCTTAAAGCCGCACTATGTCAAATTGTAGTCCAACATCGCTTAAAGACTCGCCGTGCCATATTATAGACTAACATCGCTTAACGCTGCACTATGCATAATTATTATGAATCAGTGGACATCATTGTCATCACATTGGTGATTTGTCCAACGAACTCGTCTACGTTTTATTAGTATCAAATAAATAGCAACTACGACAGCAATCTTACAATTTTGGCGATCCGCCATTTTGTACAAGTCACCGGATCGGCGTAATATTCTCGCAAAGCGGTGTACTTTCTCGAGACGACTGCTACGTATGACCATTTGTGATCGGCCTTAAAAAAAAATCGCTGGCGAATTTAAATCGGCGTGATCAGACGAAATAAGGCCCGTAACTCTTCAAAAAGTCCCCCCCCCCCACCCTCTATGTGAAAAAATTGTCGACCATAGGTATACATTGTCCGTCAATTTTACAGCACCCCTAAGAACACTCCCCCCCCCCCTCCTTGCTCTGAGCTAGTTACGGCTCTGGACGAAATAATACGTTCCTCTGCTCATAGCTTTAAATAGGAGTGTTTATAAGCCGCAACAAACATATGAAGTTGAAACGCAAGCTATTCAAAATTTACTATGTAATAAATCCCGTTGGTTGTTAGGTACCTAATCTATAATGAAATATGTTTTTTTTTTCTTGCTTAAACATGCATTATACAAGGGGCAAATCTGCCTATTGCTAGTCTTTCTTTAGGCCTGAAATGTTATCTAAATTATCAATTAGACCACAATCAACTCTCGATGTCACCCCTAGCCTGCGATATTTACTGAACCTGTTGCTCAACGCTCATTATCCAAAAATGTATAATCGAGACATGTTGTTTAGTAATGATAATCGAGATTCCAAATGGATCAATTTAACTGAAATTTTCAGCATATTCCTTTTACATTATCTAGCTATTGAGAATTGCCAGCTCATTCTCTAATCTCCCACAATGCCCATTTTATGTTATAAATATTTCCCCTTTACAATGTATACAGAATAGTTTCTGGCACGTGATATGACATTTATAATGACATTATCAACCTACAAAATTATACATTAACTGTATTTACCATTTTCATTTACAAAGAATGACCATTATAATAATTACGTATTTGATATATTATCTGTTGCTAAGGAGGAGACTTGATTTGTATCACATTTACGTTTATAAAGTAGGACTTTTAATAAATAAATGAATAATAACCAGGTATGTTTTTAAAGGGCATATGGCTCTATTCTTTAGAACCTTAAAGATACAGTATGTAAGATTTAGATAAAGAGCTAGCCATTCTTGCTATAATTACTCTATTGCGAGCGAAGATATCAGACTTTGAATTTTCGACGAGACGCGTGCAGTAATTTCAGCCACCGTACTGGTTGTTCGAAGCTAAGTCTCGCTCCTCCATTTTTAGCTTAAATCAAAATATGGCTGAACTGTTCTAATCTATTTAATATCGGAGAAATCCGACGACATCGAGAGTTGATTATGGCCTGAATAAGTTAATTAATGTCTAATTAATAATTTAGAAAACATTTCAGATCTAAAGAAAGACCTGCAATAGGCAGATTTAGCTCTTGCATAATGTATGTTTAAATAGACTAAAATGGTCTAAATGTATATATGGGCGGGGGGATGGCCGAATGGTTAGCACGTGCGCGCTGTATCATAAGATCTGCCATTGAGTCAACTAGCGTGGTTTGGTTTCCCCGGTTGTATGTGGCAAGGAGTAGGGTCGCCTGTCCAACCTCGTGGGTTTTCTCTGGGTCCTCCGGTTTCCTCCCACTGCTAAAGACGCCTACGCGCAAGCGAATTATTGAAATAAAAATGAACCGTGTGTTAGTCCTAGTTTGTGTCGAGTGGACGTTAAACCCCATTTCTCTCTCTCTCTCTATCTAAACTAATCTCTAAAAACTGGCCAGATCTTCATGTAGTGTAGGCCATCGAAAGTATAAAAAAGCGAAACGAAATATAGATTTGTGGCCAATCGAATATTTACTAAGGATCAATGTGGTCGAAGCGGTGACAATACAGAGATCAAACACATGTCCAATACTGCACATGATGTCAATGTTAGTCACGTTCAGGTTGTCTATATGTTCAGGTTGTCTTTCTGGTTTGTGGCAGGTGTCTGGGTTGTATTAAATGTTATGACAACAAAATAAAAAAAGATATCAATGTTGGCATTTCACGTCTGCTAAACACAGAAGAATAAAAAAATAAGAATGTCAATTTCAATTCAGTTTGACATTTCTGATCGTAGAGCCTGCGCGCCACGTGCTTGATATGTTTATTTTTCACATTCACTTTTGTTCAATGTGTACGTGTTTACTGGGCTAATGAAAACGGGCATACGCCATACATATGGAAGACCAAACAGCTCTTTATTCAGTGTTCTTAATTCTTAGTTCTTAATTCATAGTCCATAATTCCTATTTCTTCATGTGTTGTCGTATTTCGACATTTGTACACTAAAATAAACATTTGTATCTTAAAATCAACATTTTGTCATATCAGATTTGTAAAATGTATTTTTGTTTAATTTAATTCTTTAATTTAAATCTTAGTTCTTAATTCATAGTCCTTAATTATTTCTTCATTTGTTGTATTTTGACATTTGTACACTAAAATAACTCTTATATCGAATTCCAACTGTCAAGGGATATTTTACATGCACGCCAATGTGTACACGGACCCTCGGTTTTTCGTCCCATCCGAACGACTGGACAGCTGTTCTGGTCAGGTCCTCCGTCCTGTATCACTGACAAGGGGGAATCATCGTATTGAAGAGGGGGTGGGGATCAAACAATGCGTGTCATAGAGTCAAGTTTCTTAATTACGACGTTTCGATCCCAGGATCGGCTAGAAAGATGTACCATGTCACGACATAAAGGGCGTTATGTAAGATTCGGATACAAAAAACATAATGAGAAAGGGAAATGTCAGGTCAAATTACTTCATTCTGGGCCGATTCATCGGCATTAAAAAACAGTGTAGTCTCGATTGTCATCGATATTGTTATTACGGTAATAAACAAAGTCTCGATTATCCACTACTGAATTAAATTAGTAACCTCAATCGTATTTAAATCTAAAGCAGCGAGAGTTGATTATTGTTTTGGTAAGTTAATAAATCTCTAATAAATAATTGACTATTTTATAACATTTAAGGCATACAGAAAGACATGCAATAGGTAGGGTTAGCTCTTGAATAATGTCCATTTAAACCACAGCTTGTATTGTATGTGAACGTCTCCTGCAAGAAGCTGCACCGGCCGTTCTAGAGAAGCTAACTTGCACGATGGTTTGTGTATTGTATGTGAACTTCTCCTACAAGAAGCCGTACCAGGGGTTCTAGAGCAGTTAACTTGGACGATGGTTTGTGTATTGTATGTGAACATCTCCTGCAAGAAGCTGCACCCGCCGTTCTAGAGCAGCTAACGAGGAAGATGGTTTGTGTATTGTATGTGAACTTCTCCCTCGAAAAGCGGTACCAGTTGTTCTAGGACAACACACGTACTCTTGTATTACATGTGTCACTGCTTATGCTAGGTTCCCAGTGCCGTGCGATGCGTTACGACAGGATTGTCCCTAATGAATCCACGCAGTTACGTTTCGATACGATCAACACGATTGCTACGACCGACCACAATATATATGCACCACGATTATCCGATTAAAACCACGATTTCAATCGTGGTCACCTTAGGAGGACTATGGTTTAATTTGTGTATGCAAAAGTCCTCGTATACCGCGATAGTCGTATACGAATCATTAATATTTCAATATAAAGAGACATTAGGTCTATGGTTGGTATTTGACCTGATTTTACTATATGTTTTAGGGGGGTGTAGCTGATCTGTGTGAACGATGTGAATGAAATCTAACTACGTCTTTAGCTGTGATATAAACAATAATTTAACTTGCAAATTACATCTCGTGCAATTATTATAATAAATATTGTTTTACAGTTAAGTACTGCACAATTATGAGTTGATTACAGAATAGAAGTAGTAATTATCTAATAATCAAATCATATTATACTAGATTGTACTATCTGATACGTACTGTATAATTATAATCTTATTTAACCCGTTTCACATGCTCCAGTCGCGACCTAAAAGAGTATTTTGTTTCATTAGTTAGTCACAGATATATTTAACATACTATATATGGATACAATAACAAGCATTGCTGCTGCTAATGTAAAATCGCTTCCATAAACAATGATCATTGAGAAGTTAGACGACTGGATATATTTGATTTACATATTTTACAGGGTGGTGAAGGTAACGATCCCTTGGAAAGAACGTGCAATATACATACAAGTAGATTATGAGAGAGAGAGAGAGAGAGAGAGAGAGAGAGAGAGAGAGAGAGATGGGGTTTAACGTCCAATCGACACAGACTAGGTCATTTCGGGACTAACATATGGTTTAATTTTATTTCAATAATCCGCTTGCGCGTAGGGGTCTTTAGAAGTGTTAGGAAACCGGAGGATACAGTGCGCACGTGCTAACCATTCTGCCCCCCCCCCGTAGATTATGACGGTAGATATTCAATAATACAATGTCGATGCCAAGGCCCCAAATTAGTTCGCCAAGTTTTATGAGTACACCTGCTTTCAAAGGTGTGTGTGTGTGTGGGGGGGGGGGGGTAATGATCTAGGCAGTTTTAAAGCGTTTAGTTAGTTTGATAATATCATGTACGATTTCAACGATGAAAGAATTGTCCTCAAAAAAATAGCGGTGTTTCCAGAAAGTATTGTTTGTATGTTTTTATGTTCAAGATCTAATTTATTTATTGTTATTTTTCGTTGAGAGTTGTATAGTGGACAGTGTAAGAAATAATGTTCGCAATCTTCGACACCTTGACCACATAAACAGGATGGATGTTCTGATATATGCATCAAACACTTGTGAAGGTTTAAATCGCTCTTTGAGTTTCGAGGTTTACAATGGATTATCTGTAGATGCCTTTCGTCTATATAGTAGTGGGCATTAGTTTTGATTAAGTGCATGCTTGATTTTAATTTAGTTTTGAATTCGGAAATAGTTTTGGAATATTTTATTGGAAGACTTAGATCATTCCACTGTTTAACAGAAGATGGAAATAAATGATTCTGGTAAAGTAATTTTCTACAGTTTATTTGCTTAATTTGGTTTGAGTTTTCTAGACGGTATGGTTGGTCAGCGGAGACAAGAGGTGGAACTATATCAGTTAGATATTTAGGAACTAGTCCATTTAAAATTTTGTAGAAAAGTATTATTTTATGTTGATAGCGTTTTAATTGAAGCTGGCAACTTCCAGTTTCCGTATAAAGTATATTATGAGAGGTACCACGTGAAAGACCGGTTATAGTACGCAATGCGTCGAGTTGAAGTTTTTCAAGTTGGGTTGATTTATCTTTAGAACAATTATTCCATACACAATCTGCATAATCGAAAATTGGAAGAATGAATGAGTTATATATAGTTTTTAGCGTTTTTCGTTTTAGACGGTATTTAAAACTTCGCAGATAATTTATCAGTTTGCTTATTTTGGACGTAAGGTAATCTACATGTACATCCCAGTTACACGACTTACTGAAAACAAGGCCCAAATGTTTATGCTTTACTTCATCGTTTATATCTGAGTTGTTTAGCGATAATTTAAAGATTTTCTTGGCGTGGTTTCGAATCCCCGGTTGTGCGTGACAAGGAGTAGGGTTGCCTGTCCAACCTCGTAGGTTTTCTCCGGGTCCTCCGGTTTCCTCCCACTGCTAAAGACCCATACGCGCAAGCGAATTATTGAAATAAAATTAAACCATATTTAGTCCGAAATAACCTGGTTTGTGTCGAGTGAACGTTAAACCCCATTTCTCTCTCTCTCGCCTTTATGCCTCCGTCAGACCGGGGTGGCGTCCCTACTGTGCTGCTACGGCGACGGAAAATGGTCCCAGAGCGCGTCGAGATCGTCATTAGCGTCGTAATAGCGTGATGGAAACGCCAGATATCGTGCTGTGGTCTCCGTGATCGCATGTTCAAAACAAACGCAACGGTTATGAGATCTGACCTGAAAAGCTGTGAGGAGGCGACTTTTGCGTCGCTTGCGTGTGGTCGGCACCGTAGAATACAGCAGACTAGCCGTAGATACTTTTGTTCCTGCACATCCAGCATTTCACCCGTTTTTTGGCGACTGCGTGGTCTGCGAGCTACCAAACAATACGACCCGTGCGTGTCAAAACATGTACACCGGGTTGTGAGCTTGGCTTTATCTCGCGAGACGTAGAATTGAGGGATGAGGTTTCTTATCTAATGCTGATCCAACATATGGCGCAGTTGCTCAATGGGGTTAAATTTGGTGCACGACAGAAATAATCTCATCTCAAATAAACATATGTAACAACATCAGATCATATAAAAATATACAGGATGTAGTTTAATTCTTTATATTCAAGTACATTACAGTTGAATTGGTATAAGGGGTGGGTCACGGTGGCTCGCTAGCCTGGGGGTGTGGTGTTCGATCCCTGCATTGCCCGAGAAAGTTCATCCAGATTGTCCGGCGTGATCCCCCCTTGTCATTGATGTAGAACGGAGGGCCTGACAAGGACAGCTGTCTAGTCGTTCGGATGGGACGAAAAACTGAGGTCCCGTGTACACATTGGCGTGCACGTAAAAGATCCCTTGACAGTCGAAAGTACGAAACGAAATATAGATCTGTATTTTAATCAAATTGTTATGTATGGAAGACCTGAAAAGGAAGAAGAAAAGGTTGAGGATGCTGATGAAAACCGTTGGTATTCAAGTAAAGTACAATTTCTATTACGCTTTGTGGGCCGGGGTCAATCATATTGCTTCTCACTTTACTTATGGCAACAATGTTTATTATCGAACTTCATCAAGGGAAAATTCTGGTTATACACCTTGTATCGAAATGAAATGAAATGGGGTTTAACGTCCTACTGTTCTGCTCCTAAACTGGGCTAATGAAGACGGGTATACGCAATACAGTGTGCTATGAGGGAAATTTTGCCCGGGCAGCGGCGCTACGGCCTACTCTTATATCGAATTCCAATTGCCGAGGGATCTTTTTCGTTCACGCCAATATGTACACGGAACCTGTTTTTCGTCCCATCCGAGCCACTAGACAGCTGTCCTTGTCAGGCCCTTTGTCCTGCATCACTGACAAGGGGAAACCACGCCGGAAAATCTGGATGAACTTTCTCGGCCAATGCAGGGATTGAACACTCGACCTCCAGGCTAGCGAGCCAGCGTCTTACCCACTTAGCCACGTGATCCCCCCCCCCCCCCCAAAAAAGGTATATACACACGTACATTTCATATTTGTATATTTAACGATGAGATATTGGGACAACGTTGCAGATTTCTTTACTGAGTAGATAAATATTAACTATAGTTTGTGGCAGGAATGACGCATTTCATCCATGTGATGATAATAAAGTAAGACTTTTATTTTATGGCGAATTTATTATTCGAAACAGAAACAGACTCAAAAGTTATCATGTAAAAATGAAATTATGTCTATAGATATATGTTTACAAGAAGTAAACGGGGGTACAAGAGTTGTATATCACATCCGAATTAGTGTGGGAACATAACTCCCGTCAAAAGACAACACCTAGTCATTCACTTTTTTCTTATTTTGAGAAAACAAAGGAAAACGTAATGAATGAATATTAAACCCCAGTTTTATCAATTGACTTGACTATTGAGTTACTAGGTTTTTCTGTGGCATACTAAGCAAATGAAGGAAGTTGCTAGGTTGTGTCATGGGTGTAACTGCTTTCAAAATCAAAAGATTGGAATATCTAGTACAACAGGAAGCACATATCCTAGTAACTACAAATTTGATAAAAAAAAGTGAGTTACTAGGTGTTGCCTTTTGGCGGGAGATATTGACTCATGGTTAGTAAAAGGTTGGTCATCTGTTAATAGTTCCTACAATAGAGGTAACCTTTACCAAATAGTAGATATCATTAAGCTACTTAATTACTCAAATATAAGATCAAACACTATCAGCATCAATACATTATATAAATAGAGAACAAATCATACAGACCACATTCAACATTAGTCGATAAAGCTGAAAACAGGTAAGTGCATGGCAATTGCTTTATTTTTCGATTTAATACCCAAATTCTAATGGTTTTTAAAACTGAACTACAGTCGTGATCCTAAATGTTGGCAAATACATTTGCCATCTAAAACGTGTGAGAGAGAGAGAGAGAGAGGAATGGGGTTTAACGTCCACTCGACACAAACTAGGTCATTTCGGGACCAACATATGGTTTAATTTTATTTACATAATTCGCTTGCGCGTAGGGGTCTTTAGCAGTGGGAGGACCCGGAGAAAACCCACGAGGTTGGACAGGCGACCCTACTCCTTGCCACGTACAACCGGGGATTGGAAACCACGCCAGTCGACTCAATGACAGACTTTATGATACAGCGCGCGCACGCTAACCATTCAGCCATCCAACCTCCCCATCTAAAACGTATCTGATAGGCCGGTGTCTCAAAGAGGGTATCGCCACCCAGCGGAAGAATTATTTATAAAATTTGATCATGTTGATATTAATGCTCATCATTAGTCAGACATTAAAGATACATTATGGGAGATTAGATAAAGAGCTGACAGTTCTCACTATAATAGTTAAAAACAAGGTACTGTAAAAGGAATTTGCTGAAAATTTCAGTCAAAGTGATCCACTCTGAACCCAGAATTTAGCGATTGAATTTTCGACCCAGCCTCGATCATTAATTATTTAAGTCCGTACGATATAAAAAAAATATTCTCGATTATCCATTTCATGATTTAATCATGATTGAAAGTTATGCAGCAAATCGGATCCTAATCCAGTAAATATCGCCGAGTTGATTATGGTCTGGAGAAGTTAATTAATGTCTAATTAATAATTTAGATAACATTTCGGGCCTAAAGAAAGACCTGCAATAGGCGGATTTAGCTCTTGCGTAATGTATGTTTAATTTCTTCCACAGTAGTCTAAAAACGTTTGGATTATAATTAGTCAGTCATTAATTCCAAGCACTGCAGATTTCTAACAAAGTACATGTATATAGGATAGCTTGCTTTCAAAGCAGAGTTTTGTGTACTCGAACGGTGGGGTGCTTTAATGTATTTATGTTGATATAAACGATCATCTTACTACGGATTAATAAAAAAAGCGATGTCTAGCAGTGTTCATCATCTAAATACATGTTTAAATGTGTACACATTGGATCGATTGACAGTTGGAATTCAATATAAGAGCCGGCCGTAGCGCCGCTGTCCGGGCAAAAATTGCGTCATAGCACACTGTATGATGTATACCTGTCTTCATTAGCCCAGTTGGAGCAGAACAGTGGGACGTTAAACTCAACTTTATTTCATTTCATTTCGTTTCAGTACGAAGTTTGTAATTGTAGTATCAAGTAGCAGTAACAAGGGCTTGTAGATCAAATACCAAGATTAGAAACTTATATTGTTACTACGTATTATATGGGTTGGTAGACCAAGTACCATAGAAACTCATATAAATTACCATTTGTTTCAGTATGAAGTTGTTAGTTGCAGTATGTGCTCTTGTAGCAGTAACATGGGTTGGTAGATCAGAAGGATATGAATGTCATTCCTGTACACCAGAAAGGAAAAGTCGGTGTCCTACTTTACGAGCTGATTGTGAAGCTGTTCCTCCGGTATGTGGTTGTTGTGAAAGATGTGCTCGTAAAGAGAATCAGAGCTGTAGTGGTCTTTACGATCCGAGGTAACTAGTACAGTTGGTTATAGTAACACCAATAATCTTCGTTCAAGTAATTTTCTAATTCTCTCTTTCTCTCTCTCCCTCTCTCTCACTCTCAGGCGTAATGGCATTGCTTGGGTAGAACGAAGCTGATGGGATTGTTGTTAAATATAAAACCATAATAATTAAGTTTCTCAAGTGATATAAATAATGTTAAATAATTTCGTTTTTCCGAATTGATTTTAATTTAGATCTAAATCTTGTGATAATTATTTTCATTGACGTTATTGATTAACGCCACTTTAAGTATTTGTTTGTCGTTTATCTATACTATCGGGGGTTGGGTGGCCAAATGGTTAGCACCTGCGCGCTGTAATATAAGGTCTTTCATTGAGTCAACTGGCTTGGTGTCGATTTCCCGGTTGTACGTGACAAGGAGTAGGGTCGCCTGTCTAACCTCGTAGGTTTTCTCCGGGTCCCATGCGGTTTGACAGGCGACCCAACACCTTGTCACGTATAAGCGGTGATTGAAAACCAAGCCACTTAACTCAATGACAGACCTTGTGATCAAATGCGTTAACCATTCGACCACCCAGCCGCCTAAATTCATTAAGACGTGCGTGTTTATATTATGTTAGTCCGAAATGACCCGGAGAAAACCCACGAGGTTTGACAGGCGACCCTACTCCTTGTCACGTATAAGCCTATATTCATTAAAGACCCAATAACACTCTTGTTGTAACTGAATAATATGTCCCAATCTATAGTCTGGTCAACAAATTGTACTATTTTACAATATTCCTATTAATTGGTGATATAAATTTCATCTTAACACACCTTATTTAAAAAATTGGAAAAATTCAACTAAATGATTTGAAAAGCCTGATTTAATGGATAATCAACACAACAGGTAAGACACTAACACATCTAGTACTTAGAATAAGGCTATTTTTTTATTTTCTGGAGATGTCAAGCCAGCAAGAGTGTTATTGTCCCTTTAAGACGTGCTTGTCTATATTATGTTATATTTTTTATTGTTTTTTATTTACACAGATGTCAAACTGGTTTGAAATGTGTGACGTCACCAAACGTGGACAATCGAAGGATTTCACTTTGGACTAGTCCAGGAAAATGTCGCAGTGTCTAAACATAAAGACCGGAATGCAAAAAAAATAAAAATAAAAAATAAAGTGTATGAAATAAAACAAATGCTAATGCTTTGGGTTATTTGTGTCTAACTTGATTTGCTAAATATTCTTTGTATGGCTGGGTTTATGTCCAAGTTCTACTCCATCGTCGCTTAAATTCCCACCATGTCATATCGTAGTCCAAAGCCCCACTGTCATATTGAAGTCCAACGCCGCTTAAATCGCCACCATTCCATAATGTAGTCCAACGCCGCTTAAAGCCTCGCCATGTCATATTGTAGTCCAACATCGCTTAAAGCTGCACTATGCATAATTATTATGAATCAGGGGACATCATTGTTATCACATGACCTCAAAATGGCTGCCCCTTTAAAGTAGCTAAGTCTGTAACTCAATATCATCCAAAATCTTCGACATTGAAAACACGAATTTTTTTGCAATTTAAATCAGCATTGGTGTTGTGGACTTACCTGGAAAAGATGGCCTTCTGATATCCAATATTTAAGACAAAATAAACATTTTACCATTGGTAAATGAATCGTGTACCATAATGCGTTTCAGCGCCATTTGTAACAATGTGCTCAAAGAATGAGGATAGACATATTCCACAAGTCATGTCAAACGGTGATGCCACATTGTTATTTGGAGAGCATACGCAATATATACTATTGACTGGAATAACCAGACGCTAGAAACTGTCTTTCGGCTGAGACTGCTGGCGTATTTCTGGCGTAATTCTGATGACAATTCACAGTAAAACGGAAACGGTTGAATGTAAAACAGTTTATATAAATTCATATTACATTATTATATATGTTGCGACCCATTTGTGCCAATTTCTAGGCCCAAAATATTAGCGATTTAGCTCCTTTAATGTTATAAATCCTCTTTAAATATTGTGGTAATTTGAATCATTAGTACGTCGTTCCTTAGGTTTTCAATAATGGTTTTATTCAAAATTAAGTTATATTTATAGTACGGCTTTCATTGAGTTAACAGGTTTAAACTCCGAGGCCGTAGGCCGAGGGGTTAAACCTGTTAACGAATGAAGCGTGCTATAAATGACTTGTAACATGACACCTTCTCAACATGCTCGTTGTTATTGCACAGACCCCCCCCCCCACACACACACACACTTCTCTATATGATATCTACTAAAACTAGCGTGAACCAGCAAAAGTGTGTAATAACATTGGAACTGTCTAGTTATTGCACTCCAGCCAGTCTACAAGAGGGAAAACAATAGCATTGGAACTGTCTAGTTATTGCACTCCAGCCAGTCTACAAGAGGGAAAACACTCTGCTTATTCAACGAAAAGCACAAATGAATATTTCCCATCCATGTTACAATTCCCTTTAATGTATCGATGAAACCGATATTTCCACTTTAAAATGTATACAGAATAGTCCCTGGCACGTGTTTAATTTTCTGTGAGTTGTATAACGTGACAACGTAATATGACATTTATAATGACATTATCAACCTACATAATTATATATTAACTGTATTTACTATTTTCATCTACAAAGAATGATCATATAATAATTACGTATTGACAAATTATCTGTTGCTAATGACGACACTTGATGACACTTGATATGTATCACATTTACGTTTATAAAGTAGGACTTTTAATAAAAAAATTAATGATAGTATCATAAATTAATAATAACCAGGTATGTTTTTAAAGGGCATATAGTGGACGAATGGTTAGCACGTGAACGCTGTATCATAAGGTCTGTTATTGAGTCAACTGGCGTGGTTTCGATTCCCTGGTTGTACGTGTCAACGCCTGTCCAACCTCGTGGGTTTTCTCCGGGTCCTCCTGTTTCCTTCCCCTGCTAAAGACCCATATGCGCAAGTGAATTATTGAAATGAAGTTGAACCGTGTGTTAGTCCCAAAATGACCTAGTTTGTGTCGAGTAGACAGTATACTGGTTTTAATCCAAGAAGACTATTGTGAGAAATAAATAATTTCTTACATTAAAATCGGGGTCTCTTTCTTAGCTAATTCTGAAGGTTGTTCAGGCTCGGTTTCGGCAATGGTCCCAGCAATCTTGCCGGGGTCAGCCTCACCCAGTAGTCTTTTCCTTCATACTTTGCCTTTATCTGCACGGCTGTCTGTCTATGTTCAGCTTCTTCTTCAATTCTTCCCACCTAATCTGCTCTGTTCCCACATTCACATTTGTTAACGACCATCTCAGTCTAAACTATCTCTGATACCCTGCGTGCTTGTGCTTCTTAGTCGAATCAATGGGCATGATGATCTACTAATAATTACACGCGTGACTTAAATATTAATAGGACTCCGACTTGTCAATCGAGGGACAAAAATCAACACTTGTCAATGTCGAACTCGAGCCTCTGGATGATATAGGCAATATATCTGTAAACAATACAAGTAGACTATCCGCGGACAGACTGTCTAGAATGTCATTAATCAACTTGAATTAATTGTGTGGTAATCCAAGTCATTTTAATCCCCATTTCCATTCACATTTCCGCTGATCTTATGTATTTTATTTATTTGTGGCAATAGCGCCAGACACGGTCTATCCCGGAGCCGGCGTAGCTATGACATCATGGAAAGCTATTCTTAGAACAGGAAGTCAATCAAATCTGGAGCTTATTACCTCCCTTGATAGAAATGGCTCTCAAATGATTTGAAAAGCTTTACGTGACTTGGATTTAAAAATATTTTCGAACCCTCTGGACAAGTTAAATTGGATTTAATGAATAATTTACACAACAGGTAAACACTAACCAGCAACAGTGACATTGTCTCTTTAATTAAATTTACTATTGTAACTTTTGGATTTGGTCTAAATATTGAATATGATCCCCCAAACAATAGCAATGATAACACTCTTCTACAAACTATTGTATCACCAACCCAAAAGGCAAAATAAAACAGTAGTGCATTTTGTACGTATGAGAAGCAAATTCAGTATTTGCTTTGGTAGGAAGCGCATGTTATTTATTTTTGTCAGTTGATCTTTAGGTTTCAAAAGTATTAATCCGTACCCGGAAATCAACAAACCACTTCACACAACCGGATGGTAATAAAGACCAGTGACAGGTGGCTAACAAAAATATTTTATCCATTCTTTACATACCCCTGGAGGTATAATGATATATAAATAGAACCAGTTATCTTACTCCTGTAATTTTATGCATATTTCATTGGTTTTAAATTACACAAAATAGGAGATGCAATTAGTCTAATTCTTGATAGACCATCACTATAAACGTGTCAAAATCAGCCTCAGTGCAATATATAAACCGAAAATAAATCACACAGACCACAGTGAAGATTAATCTGTAAAACTGAAAGCAGGTAAGTTACAATCTATACTTATAACAATTTATATTGAATTTAAAAAATGTATATGAACTAAAACGGGCCAGCTACTGTCTAGTGATAATTTAAATCTATATATTTCCTTAATAGTGAGGTCCATCTTCATTAGCCTAGTCGGCGCAGAACAGTGGGGCGTTAAACCCCATTTTATTGTCCCCCCGCCTTTCAAAGAAAGCAGGGGACTATTAAAATGGGTTCGTCCGTCCGTCCGTCCGTCACACTTTTTGGGACATAATAACTCTTCTTCTAATTGATCTACAATGTGCAAACTTGGTGCAGGTGTTTATTAGGTCAATGCCTTGGTGGCGTTCGAAGATGAGCATTTTCTGCTTAGGGTAAGCAGAGATAAGGAATTTTTTGTGTTGATGCTTTGGGACACGATAACTTTGGTTCTAATTAGGTGAGAGTGATGAAACTTGGTGTTTAGTTTCATTACATCATATCTTGAGTAAGTCCGATAATGAGAATTTTCTGCTCAGGGTAGGCAGGGCGATAAGCAGTTTTGATTGGACGAGGCTTTGGAACTCAAAAACTCTCACTCTCCTTCTCATTGAGCTAGAACATTCAAACTGGACGTAGGTGTTCGAAGGTGAGCATTTTCTGCTTTGGGGAAAGCAGAGATAAGCAATTTGATTGGTTGATGTTTTGGGACACAATAACTTTAGTTCTAATTAAGTGAGAGTGGTGAAATTTGGTGTATAGTTTTATTACATCAATACCTTGACTTAGTTCGATAATGAGCATGTTTTGCTGCGGGTAAGCAGCGATAAGCAATTTGATTGGTAAAGACTTTGAAAAACAACTCTTTTAATGGAGGTAGAATGTTTAAACTTGATGAAGATGTTCATTAGGTGAATGTCTTGACTGAGTTCAATGATTAACATTTGAGCTAAGGTAAACAGAGCTACGCAATTTCATTGGTCGAGGCTTCGGGACAAAATAACTTTTATTCTATCTGATAGAGAGTAATGAAACTTAGTGTATAGCTGATAATCAGTTCCATTGCTTGATCTTTTGGAAAAAAATTAAATGTTCGATTAATTAATATGTATCATCTATTTATTTTGTAATTTTGGCGGGGAACATCAGTCTCACTGCTGGCTTGTTTCATTTGAACAATGGGAAGTCTGAATGCATATTCATAATATATGCAAAATACCATGTTCGGTACAGTTCCCAACACATGATAAATAGTATGTAACTACATATCATTATTACAGTGAGTTTTAGTATGAAGTTGGTATTATATTATTTGTTTCAGTAGTATGGCGTTATTAGTTGCAGTATGTGCTCTAGTAGCAGTAACATTGATTGGTAGATCAGATACCAAGAAAAGAAACGTATATTGTAACTACGTATTATATATTTGTTCTGTTTGTTTCAGTATGAAGTTGTTAATTGTATTATATGCTCTAGTAGCAGTAACATGGGTGGTAGATGAAATACCAAGACTGTAACTTGTATTGTAACCAGTAACCACGTATTATACGCTTTGTTTCAGTATGAAGTTGTTAATTGTAGCATGTGCTCTAGTAGCAGTAACATTAGTTGGTAGATCCGAAGGATATCTCTGTCCACCATGCACACAGGGGTATAAAAGCGAGTGTTCTACAGCAACACCTGATGATTGTGAACAGGTTCTTGATAATTGTGGATGTTGTGAAATATGTGCTATTAAAGAAAACGAGAGTTGTGGTGGCTACAGTCAAAGGTAATATAACTAGCATTGAAATGAAATAGTGTTTATCGGCCTACCTTTCTGCACCGGCTGGGCTAACGGAGACCAGTTGAGGCCATACAGTCTTATGAGGGCAATGTTGCTAGACTGTAAAATTCCAAATGTACCCGGGAGTCTCAATGTTTCGTCCCTAGACCGACCTTATCGGGCCCAGTGCCTTGTACCGCTGTAAGGGGAAACCGCACCGAACTGAAATGGGGTTTATTGTCATGGCTCAGTCTGTCACGCAACGAAGACCAGCTTAGGCCATACAGTGTGCTATGAGGGCAATGTTACCGGACTGTCAGATTTCAAATGTACCCGTGTTCTCGGTTTTTCTTCACATCCGAACGACAGACCTTAATAGGCCCAGTGTCTTGCACCGCTGACAAGGGGGAACCGCGCCCAAAATACCGAAGAAATTTCTTGGCCAACATCGAAAGGGAACCCGAGACCTCCTTGGTTAGCGAGTCAAAGTTTTGCTTTATAATGGAAGGGATATAAGATCGAAATATTTTAACGACGGGACTCGAAGAAATCGCATCACTTTGATTTGTCTTATTTTCTAATTTAATCGTAGTTTACTGTTTTGATAGTTAACAAAAAAATCAATGTATGCCAGCGCTGAATGCATCAATATACATAAATATTACAATATGATTGACAATTTGTGTGGAAATTTTAAGTACAAGATTGTACTAGCCAGATTATATTCTGTTTTCCATCTAACATCTTAACGACGCACTTGTTTATGTTTTCTATTTGGCTTTATACAGATGTGAAACTGGCTTAACCTGTGTAGAACCAACACCAGAAACTGAACAGGATATGTTTATAGCTATGTACAGTAAGACGGGGACTTGTCTCAGGTCCCGACAATAAATAAATGTACAAAATAACATATTTATATCGTCTTGTGTTGTTATTTTCTATATATTACTAATTGGGTCCAAGTTCAAATCATGGCAGAGTAAAAATTAAATTAAGAGTCTAAGAGCGCCTTACCCACCTAGCCGCCGTGCCCCCCCCCCCGCGTGCCTACAGGCGAAACACCTATAATTATGCGATTATCGATATACTAAATCTGTATCGATTATCGATCTTCAAAACGCTTTACCGACGATTATCGGCAATATCGATATTTTCTTCCATGTCGTGTTATAACTGTTATTAATAGTGAACCTTAGGAGCAGTGGCGTAGCGTCGAGATGTTTTTGAAGGGTGGGGTCTTGAATGCCGAAGATATTTCTATTGTGAGAGTTGGCAGAATTGTTCAATCTGTCCACGACCAGTGGTACTAATAATAATTATTTTTCGTTTCACATAATAAATGTGAAATCGGGAATATATTCTGGTTACAACACTAGTTGATACCTTTTGTACACGTGTGTTCCATAAAAACTCTTCCAGGCTAGCTTTGCTACCCCAGGGCTAAGATTAGGATTAGTTTTGAGTAATCGACATATTACTGCCTCGTTGCGTAACCCGACAATCGGTTGCATGATTTTGAAAAGGGCTAACCCCAATACAAATAAGTGGGCTATGGAATTTAAGATTGTCATGATGATGACCAGCGTCCCGGAAGGCCACCAGAAGCAAACATTCAATAAAACATTATCCGGGTGGATGACATTACCACTCGACATACTGCCAGTGTTGTGGGCATTTCTCGTCAGCGGGTTGAACACATAACCAACGAGTTAGAAATGAGAAAAGTTTATGCAAGTTGGGTGGCCAAAGCTCATGACGTGTGAATCAGAAACGTGTCAAATTCCTGACGTTCCGTGACAATCTGCTCAGTTTTGAAGCATATCCCGATATTTTTGTGGCCAGATTTGGCCCGGTCAGACTTCCACCTGAAGACAATTTCTTCCAGACCGGCATCCAGGCGCTACAACATCGTTGGCAAAGTATGTAGAAAAATAAATGGAAGCTATCGACTTTGTACTGGTCTTTTACAGATAGGCTTAGGACGTTTTAGCCAGCCTTCTCACATCAATTTATACATATTTACATAGTAACACCGTGGTTTTAACTGTCAATAGTATACTCACAACTGTCTGTGGTTTCATAGTACACAGGTAACTAACAGAAAAAACCTTTTCCACCCTGTGGTATCTGTTGTACATGGGTATGATTAAGGAGCAATGAGTGGGAGATAATCTTGGGGTAGATTAAGATAATTAATGGGCCATCGTTAGTGATAGACTACTAGCGATTGACCCGGCCTAGCACTGGCATAGCCATGAACCGGATTTAGCATAACTCCGAAACTGGAAGTAGTACTCTATCATCACCACTTTTGATTCTAGTTGAGTGACACTGGTGAAACTTCGTGTATAGGTTTATTACATCAATACCTAAACAAAGTTTGATGCTGAGTATTTTCTGCTGAGACAAAGTAGAGACTTCAATCTGATTGGTCGAGCCTTTGGCACACAATAACGTTTCTCCTAATTGAGGTAGAATGTTCAAACTTGGTGTAGGAGTCTATTAGGTGAATGCCTTGGCAGAGGCCGATCATGCGCATTTTCCACTAAGCAGAGATAAGCAAGTTGACTTGTTGAGACTTTGGAACATGATAACTTTGGTTCTAATCAGGTGAAAGCGAGAAAAAATAGAAATAGTCCATACATTCACTGTTTTTATTCGTTCTATACTTAATAAAAAAATATGGTAATGCACGGACGTTTTCTATTTTTCCCATTTACTCCTATTTAGTGACAGTCCATATTTATTTTTAATTGTCAGATATCTTCCCACAGTCTTATATAACAACTATTTGTCTTCGAGGGAATTATTAGTGAGCAGAAATTCGCCCGTGTATCTGTTATCACTCGTCACTTCTGTCAGTTATAAAGAGGGATAACTCGTGTTTTTCTTTTGCGTTCGTCACTTCTTCATAACGCATCTGTCGTAGCAATGATCTCTGTGTTAAAATTATATTTGGAACGTATTAAACTAGCTACGAGAACGTAGCTAAAACGTTGAGATATACTGATGTGTTTGTTTTTAGCTACGATTGGATGCCTTTAGTTCCAAGTGGCAAACTCAATTTCTTTATTAATGCATGTTACATCTTTAAAATAAGATGAGTTTATACTATTATGATTAATTAAACTTACAGAGGCCAATGTAGTGGCACAACTGTCGCCTAACTCCAAATATTCGCGTTTAAATTAATGAAGCGTTGTTTTTGTCTGACATTCACCGCCATCAAAATCCATTCATCTGTTAAAATGCTTTAGATTGCCCTTTTGATTGGCTGTTATAAAAGCCTTTTATTTAGCCCCGCCTTCATGATGACAGCGTATCGTTTAAAAAGATGGCGGTCTTAGTAACGGCTTAACGCCTCGATTTAAAAAAACGACGATTTGTACCCGTTTCAGGTAGGATTTTATGCTAAATTGTTGTTGGATGTGGCAGAAATATTATAAATAACAATAATCAATCGTTGTTTTGATTAAAAATATTGTCAATTTTGTTTACAAATGCCGGGTGCGAATCGGTCCCGCATGTGCTACATTGGAGTTAATGGCATCATCTCTTATCTCGAAACACGGAGGGTTGAGAGGTAAGATTTGTTATCTAGTATTAAACCAGTTCTATCACATATGTGATAATGACGGACACCTAATATTGTTCTTTAGAATCCATACATTCACTGTTTTTATTCGTTCTATACTTAATAAAAAAATATGGTAATGCACGGACGTTTTCTATTTTTCCCATTTACTTCTATTTAGTGACAGTCCATATCTATTTTTAATTGTCAGATATCTTCCCACAGTCTCATATAACAACTATTGGTCTTTGAGGGAATTATTAGTGAGCAGAAATTCGCCCGTGTATCTGTTATCACTCGTCACTTCTGTCAGTTATATAGAGGGATAACTCGTGTTTTTCTTTTGCGTTCGTCACTTCTTCATAACGCATCTGTCGTAGCAATGATCTCTGTGTTAAAATTATATTTGGAACGTATTAAACCAGTTCTATCACATATGTAATAATGACGGACACCAACATTGTTCTTTAGAATCCATACATTCACTGTTTTTATTCGTTCTATACTTAATAAAAAAAATATGGTAATGCACGGACGTTTTCTATTTTTCCCATTTACTCCTATTTAGTGACAGTCCATATTTATTTTTAATTGTCAGATATCTTCCCACAGTCTCATATAACAACTATTGGTCTTCGAGGGAATTATTAGTGAGCAGAAATTCGCCCGTGTATCTGTTATCACTCGTCACTTCTGTCAGTTATATAGAGGGATAACTCGTGTTTTCCTTTTGCGTTCGTCACTTCTTCATAACGCATCTGTCGTAGCAATGATCTCTGTGTTAAAATTATATTTGGAACGTATTTAACCAGTTCTATCACATTATGTAATAATGACTTGACACCAATATTTCCCTTTAATGGCACAGAGTTCTGGCCAGCTTTCGTTAGAATCCTTGTAAACCACGTAACAACGTACCAGATTTCGATACCGTGTCGGATTAAAAACTTCATAGAGACGGACTTTCTGGCGTGCCCCCCCCCCACCATCACCTTGATAGGAACAAAGCATAGTCATAGCACACTATGGCGTATATTCATATGCATAATAACCTCAGACAAACCTACTCATCGACAAACCGAGCTCTGACCTAATGTCATTAACACATATCACCAGCGTTCGTTACACTCCTTGTTAAGTACGACCCCCCTGGGGTGTAGGGGGTGATAAGAATATACCCTTCGTATGTCCCGCGTGTCGTAAAAGGCGACTAAAAGGATCCCTGTAATGGGGCAACGTGTTTGCCGTGCGTTGCGACCCGTGTCGGTGGAGAGTGGAATCCTGGTAATTGAGTGGGGATTTGGCTTGCGAGCCCTTTCTCTGCAACACATTACTTTGGCCCATGGTTCACCTAGACGGGAGGTCAGAGTGGCCCACTCTGATCAATCGGCTTTGGTCGTTTTAGCTCTGTAGATTGTACCTTTCCCAGTGTAATGCTTTGTTGTTTATTCACTCAGCAATTATCTACCTTTGTGTCCTTTGTACATTCTACAGGGCGGCGGCTTGGGTCAATCAGGTTAGAAATGTATGTTTTACTTTCTGGCTTGAGTATACCCCTCGTCGAGCCCTGAGGCCAAGCGCAGGTTATCCGCGATAGTCCTCCCCCTGGTAGGCAGGGAAGTAACCTGGGGACGACGAGGGGTGAACTTAAAAAAAAATACTTTCATGGATTCCCCAATCCCCCCACCCCAATAGTTAAAGATATTAATAAATATAAACAGAAACGTCCGAGTTCAGACGACGTTTCGAATATATTTAATAATAATTGTAAAATGACAAAGTCTTGGCCGAGGTTCCTCTTAATTGAGAGTCCCTCAAAAGACCTATCTAAAGTGTCGCCTTTTTTGATAACCAAAGGCATAGCTGGCTTAGCCGGCGAGCCTAAGGCTATCAAAAAACTAAAAAATGGAACACTCTTAATAGAATGTGCCAAAGAGCAGCATGCTACCATGCTTCTTAAATCTTCATCTTTCGCAGACATTCTTATTAAGGTGTCTCCTCATAGGTCTTTAAATTCAAGTAGAGGTGTAATACGTTGCCGGGACCTTGAAGGCAGCAGTGAGGAAGAAATGGTAGAATACCTTTCTTCTCAAGGTGTACAACACGTCAAAAGAATTAGTGTTCGTCGAGGAGATAAGGTGATTCCAACAAGCACCTACATCCTCACATTCAATCGTCCCGACATACCAAAGACTCTCAAGGCAGGTTATTTAAATATACCTGTGGATTCTTACATATCCAATCCTCTTCGTTGCTACAAGTGCCAAAAATTTGGACACAGCAAAACTGTCTGCAGGGGTAAAGACACCTGCGCTCGTTGTGACCATGATGGCCACGA